CAGGAATCACTGCTGTTTGGCAAGAGTTTTGTATTTAGTATTTAATTTAGCCAAATTTAGAGAATAAAGGAGAAAAAAGTGTTTACATTTGATATATTTAATTATTATATTGGAACACTTTTTAAATTAATATGCTATGCTTATAATCAGTCTTTTTTGGGGGTTGGGTAGCGCGGAATAGTGAAGGGACAAGAGCTATTGCTCTGCTACATGCAGTCTTTATCAGAATGGCTTGTCTCCTGATGCAGAGTTGAACATGCAATTTCAAATTGACAGCACATTTTTAAATCTAAATACAATTGACATGTTTTAGCATGTTTATTAAATTTACATTTTTGTAGATATTAAATGCTGAGATATTAACCAATTTTTTGTTTATATTATTTTTTTTTAACCATTTGAGACTATGCCTATATTTTAAAATCTCATTATATGGAACTCTTCCAAAATAATTTCCTTTCATTCTGCACATTGCACGGGGCATGTTTTCTAATGTGGATAAATTGTGGGTTCTTAGAAGTCACTGATAATCCTGATACTAAAATTCGATTTTCCTGAATATCCACCTTTTATTTAGTCCATTTGAGTTCTGTTACCATCCAGTTTTTGTGCTGTGTTTATCCAGTTATAGAAAGTAAGATGCTGACGAGTGCTTTGAAATTCTCTAGTAAAAAGTTCACCAGAAATGTGAGAAGTTCTTTTGTCATTATTTGGCATCAGAAATATTTGTATCACGTCAAATGCTGTTGCTAGCATATCACTATCTAGTCTTTAAGGCAAGCTACAAATAGCTTAAAAAGAGACACCTGTAATATGTTGTATCAAGTGAAATGTCATGCTATATAGAGAGTAAATACATACAGTTTGCAATATATATATAGTAAACCCCTTTCATTTACAATAAACCTTATCCTTTGGATTAATTTGCCATAACTTCTGTGAGCTAAGAGGCAGAACAGCTCTCTCCCCCCATCCCCCATCTGATCTACATGTCTATTTAAGTAGGATGTGTTGACAGTGTAAAGCGGGATCTGTGACTGAGATTTAACTTACAGAAAGTGAATGAAAAGAGTTTGCTCAGCAAATTAGCAATTGAAAAGAAAAGAATTAGATGAGAGACTTAGTTTATTCACGAATAATAGCAAAGCCAACCTTTTAAAGTACCAGAAAATGTCTTTTAGGGAAACCTTTTGCATACAGGAAGTGCTGTTTACAGATTTCAGCAGAGAAAAAGAATGCGTATATTGAGATTACCTTGCTCCCACTGATGAAAATAATAAAATTATGCCTTCAAATATAATCTTCAGTTTATTTGTTGTTACAGAATCTGTCCCCATTTATATACAAATGAAAGATAGTATTGTAGTCCTTTATGCTCCAGGATGAAATGGAGCTATTTGCTGTCTTTTTTTCAGTGATCTTAGAAGATAATTCCAGGAATTTAAAAGACCTTAATAGTTGGGGCACAGGAAGTGTTTGAAGAAAAGAAACAAGTTTGTATATTAGACCCATCTAGCTTTTTCCTGTGTTCTTTCCACTGGGTTCAGGCCATCTTCAGGATTTCTTAACCAATTCAGACATTATAAACAAGGCCACTGTAGAACATGGTGATGGTTATGAAATGAACAGAAGGTGGTTTGAGCAAATGAGGCAGAAAGCGTGAGTGTAACTTTCATGGTATTTTTGAAATACATTTACAAAATGAGATACATTTCTGAATTATTAAAGAGTTTCTGAAAATACTTGTTTTTATGGTAGTGTAGACATATTCTTTGGCTACAGTTCATTTTTTTAAATGAGGACCTTCATTTCAGATTTTCAAAACTGAGTCTCCATAAGGCCTATGTTATGGCGCGAACCATAACATCGACCCACGGAGCCAATTGAGGTGAATTATGAGCCTTTATTAGCCGCTGGCGACTGACTCTCTACCAGGCAGGGTTAGAGGAGATCAGCCCCAGGGTTTGAGAGTGAGGCAATTATAAAGCCTAAAACAAGCAAGCAGATACAGAAGCAGAAGTTGGCCATTAGCACAATACATCACCTAGTACCACTCCCTGGTTAACAAGTAAGTGGATTACAGAAGCAGACATTGGCCATCTTCATATCTTACACAATACACCTCCTAAACCACACCCAAGCAAGTAAGACAACTTCTGGTATCTAAAGATACTTCTTCCCTGTAGCTGACTTAGCTAGTTGGCTCACTTGAAAATTTTCCACTCTCAACAGCCTAAAGTAGATTAAATGTGACCAGAGTTGGTTAGAAGTATTTTTCAGTATCAAAAGCTTACTGCTTACTTGACTTTATATGTGCCATGGTCTGCAATGCATCAGGTTATGTTGGCCTTGTTGCCCAGGTAGCACAGGAGCTTTCATACAAAGAAGTGTGGGCCTCTCTGCCACCTTCAGATTAATAACCTGAACCAGACATCTATAGAACCAGAGGTGGATACTTTTAATTATTCATTCTGCACATATGAACTTTGTTTAGTCTCTTGGTCCATCTGTATGTTATATAGTATCAAGTTAGTATTACGTGGAATTCCAAAAGATTCTGCATCATGTACCTAGAGGTACAATAGAGTCAAGACTTCATTATCCCCTTAGAGACTTGAACAGTCTAGGTGACCCACTCGTTCCCAGAATGCATTGTCAGCCATGCACTTTTGCCTGGACTTTTGATTCTGGAAAGATCTTTCTTCTGTACTTTGAGCTTGTAACTTACATTTGAGAAATGCTGTGTAGGGCAATTGGAGATATTTTTCCCTCTGCGAGATTCTTCCTTTGTGACTCGTATCAATTGGCTTATTTTAACTAGACAAAAGTTTCTGATTGTCTTGCTGCTTCAGGGCTAGGCTTTAAAAATCAAGCTATATTCTTCCCTATGCATCATTGACAGTCAACAACAATAATAATTGTAGGTCATAATTATCTTGTGACAATTATCTGGCTATTTTGATAATGCATCTTAATTTCAGAAACCTTCCGGGCAGAGTATAATGTTAAGCCTCTTCTTTGTTCTGATCACTTCATTGGATAGTCGTTCTAGGGAGGTATACAGGCTGTTAAAGTCTCAGACTATGTAGTTTCTCTTTATAGATAAGAGTGCTTGAAGAGAATAAGGCCAAATAGAAAACACTTCCATATTGTGTTTTCTCTGGCACAACATGGTCCATAAGAGCAGAAGTCAGGACAGTTAAAAGATGTTCCACATGCTGCCAAAATCAAAACATATCCTTGTTCTGCCTGAAAGTGAGGATTGTATAGAACCTGTGTTCATTCTTTCCCTTTCTTCCTCTGTCCAGCTTTTTCTGTTTTGAATTTTGACCAATTTAAATATTAGAAAACTCTGAAGTAAGACGGAAAAAGGCGAGTTAGCACATGAGCGTGTTTGACTCTGCAGTGGCACACCAGTTCCCCTTCTCAGACTAGTGGGCAGGTCACCACGGCCCATTCTTTGGAAGAGTGGACAACAAATATGCAGTTGTTCCTTGACTCTTCAAATACATGGTGAAGGTCTGCCTTTTATTCTATTATAATAATGCCATAAAGTTTAAGCATACGGTATATAAAATAATAGTGATTCTTTATCTTCCCTTGCACCTCTAAGTACCAGAGTTGAGATTCTGTAATGATTGAACCTTATTTTGACTATTTGTTTTATTGAATTTGAGTCAATGTTTTCTTTAGACACAATGTGGTGACTTAGTTGTCATTGTTGCTTTACTTTTCTAAGAATAGTGGCTACTTTGTTTGTCTCTTACATTCGGGGTGTCAAAAGTGAGTTCTGTGAAGTCCTCAAATGCCAATGGCTCTGACTACCCTTCAGCTCTGTCTGGAGATAGAATTACGGGGCTAGGTTGCCATGGTGCTCCATCAACATGCACTTTTTATTCCCCTATTAAAGATGTGGTAGGTATAATTTGCATTCCTCACAGAAATAAGGTCAGAAATAAAGGACAAGTCATAGTTTCCCCCAAAAGCTGAAAATATTATCAAACACTTTAGTCCAGAAACTGAATGTAACTTTCGTTGAGAGAATTTTAGATTCATAGGAGTTCTTATTCATAAACTCTAGGCTTTTAGAGATATGATACAGAATTTTACCTTTAGTGAGTCACTTTAGAATACCAAGGCAATATTTTTAGTTGAAGAAAAAGGCACAGGAGAGCTGGATCTGAAATTCGGATCTCAACTTCCAGTTTAGTATTTTTTCTTCTCATCCAGACACTGAGATAAAGCAAGTCCACGGTTGGGGACTTTGGGATTCTTTGTAGTTTTGGAGCTAAAGCCAATTAATATCCCTCACCCTTTCTGTTCTGCTTGTACCTTCCATCTTTTGGCTTTTAATTTCATAATTTTTCTTTAATTCTGTTAAGTTCTACTGTTTCATCTTTTTTTTTTTTCTTTAGAATGATAAGAAGAGAGAGTAGCTATTCTGTTATCTCATTTATGATTATGGAAAGGAAACATTCATTCATTTCTCATGTTCCAGCTTCATTTTCCTCTCAGACTGCAAGATGGGGAAGGTTTGCTTGTAGGCCATTTCAGTTCTAGTGTCTTGTCATTATCTAGGTTGACCTTGGCAAAGCAGTAGCTATTTTCAAACACCCAAATCTATGCTAGAGAGCAAGTAATCTAAACTTTGATAATTATATCTAATCTTTATACGTGTTTAATATTTTATACATCCAAAGAGGATTTGACCT